CTGTGTGTATCACCCACCATGCCATGATGAGGGAACCCACCCAAGTGTTGTAACTAGAAAACACACCCATCTGCCCACCCCCACCTCTAAAAAAACTGCTGCTTTTTAACCATAGTCTGGGTGTCTGAAAGGGAACCTCCACTTGGAACATCTGCTGCAGTCCTTTGCCTCTTTTCTAGTTATTCCTGAACAGGTCACTCATTTGAACATGAGAAGCAGTCAGTTATGAAGAGAGGTGTGTGAAAAGCCTGCTGTTGCATTGTGCCTACATTCCAGGGCAGCAGATCTTCTTACATGATCAGAAATATCAGATGGCTTCTCATTCAGGACACCCCCCTCCTCAAGTGAACTCAGTGCACAAGAAGATGCCATGGGTCACCATTGGAAGTGACTTCTTGGTCATAGAAGAGCACAAAGGGTTGGCAGTATGTTTGGAGGTTAAAAACATGGGCGTGGTGGACACTTATATAAATTATTTACCATCTTTGAGACTCAGGTTTTTGTTTTTCCATCTGTAAAATGGAGCTAGAAAATTATCTACTACTTGTTGTTGTTAGTTGCTGTCCAGTCAGCTCCAACTTATGGTGACCCCATGTGTGCAGAGTTGAACTGCTGCATAGGGTTTTCAAGGCTGTGACTTTTCAGAAGGAGATCACCAGTCCTTTCTTCTGAGGTACCTCTGGGTGGGTCCGAACCACCAACATTTTAGCTAGTGGTCAAGTACTTAACAATTTGCCCCATCCAGGGACTCCTACCTACCACTTAGGATTGTGAAAATTAAATGGCACAAATTAAATAACGTATGTCATTACTGAAAAATAGTGCCTGGCACAAATCCTAACTGCTCAGTACATTGAGCTGTGTATGATTTCTTGTTATTATCATTGAAGTTTCTCTTGCATACGCTTTGACTTCTGGGACATCCCTGTACCTCAGATACTGAGATGCTAGAGTGCAGCCCCATTTCACAGGGCTGTTTGCTTCTGAGCCCTTTTGTGATGACCCGTAGTATTTAAGTCATTAAGCCACGCTGTTTAGGCCCAAGAACAATGGGTGGGAGTCTGGAGTCCTTGGCCTTGGCCAAGTGCTGCCACTCACCCAGCAGGATTCTCAGGTTACCACTCCACTGCTTTGAGCCTCACTTTACTACTCTGTTCAGTATTGGTCTTACTGCCTGCCTTGCCTGCCCTCCAGGCCCTACTGTAAATATAACAGGAGCCCATGGATGGGAAAATCAACTGGTACTGCTTTAACACACACACTTGCCAGGCAAGGGTTAGTGATTCTGATAAGGGAGAGAGGGAAGATCTGAAGAATTTCATATCTTGAAGTCTTTTAGGTTTTATCTAGAAAGGGAAAAGGGAGGAAAATATTTTTAAACTGTAAAGTGCTGTACATATATTATTATTATGACACACTAAATTACTGTCCTTATATACTCATACACTACATTAGGTACTGGAGGAAATAGACTCATTTTAGCTTCAATATACTGAGCTTCTACTATATGCCAGATTCTGTGCTGATGGTTTCCATACATTATGCTATTTAATCCACACAGCTGTGCTATGAGGTAGGTATCATCACCCTCAGTTACAGAGGAGGAAAGTGAGGCATAGAGACAGTAATAATTTACTAAGTATCAGAGAGCTGGTAAATGGTAGAGCCTGGATTGGAAACTAGGTCTGTCTGGTTCAAGTCATGCTCTTGGTCACTATACTGCATAGCTCAATCCTCTTAGTTGGTGAGACAAGGCAAGGGAAGTCCACATGACAGAGTCTGGGTAAAGTTTTAAAGGCTGAACCTTCTGGTACAATTAAGCACAACAGCAAACTGGCTACGGAGTGTTATATTTATATATGCAGGTATGGCCACTTCTCACCACCTTCACTGCTACCACCCAGGCCAAGCCACCATCTTCCGTCATGTGGATTATTTCTGTAACCTCCTAATCGGTCTCACTGTCCACACCTCACCTCCATTGCATCTATTCTCAATAAAGCAGTTGGAGAGTCTGCCAGGTCAGTGTCTGCTCAAACACCTCCAATGGTCCCTCCTCGCATGGAATAAAAGCCAAAGCCTTGTAGGGATCAGCAAGGTCCCCCCCGATCTGGCCCTGGCTACCTTCCTGACCTCAACTCCTTCCACTGCTCCCCTTGCTCCTTTTGTCCCAGCCCCCAGCATCCTCCTTTCTTCAGACATGCCAGGCAGGATCTAGCCTCAGGGCCTTTGCTCTTGCTGTTCCCTTTGTCTGGAATGTTCTCCTCCCAGATATCCATATTCCTCACTCCTTTACTATATAACTCACGAGTCCAGTGAGGAGACAGAAACCACAACAGTTATTTGAACAATAAGGCTTTTTCTTTTTTAATAAACTTCATTTTTAGAATCAGTTTCAGATTTGCAGAAAAAATTGTACAGGAAGTACAGAGAGTTTCCACATACCCCTCTCCTCCCACCCCCACACACAATAACTGTTGCTGTGGAGTGGATTCCACCTCATGGCGTCCTCATGCGTGTCAGAGTAGAACTGTGTCCCATAAGGTTTTCAGTGGCGTATTTTGAGGAAGTAGATCACCAGGTCTTTCTTCTGAGGTTTCTCTGGGTGGACTCAAACCTCCAACCTTGTGGTTAGCAGCTGAGAGTGTTAATCATTGGCACCAACATCTTACATTCATGTAGTACATTTGTTGCAATTGATAAACCAATATGGATACATTTAACGAAGATCCATACTTCACATTAGAATTCACTCTTTGTGAACAATGACATCTTAACGTTAAAAAAAACCTGTTAACTAGGAATAAAGTTGTTAACTACTGAAAGGTTAAAAAGAACACTGTCAGGTATTATGGAGGTGGCAATTGCAGGAAGCAGCCACTACCTCTAAGGATGAGAGAACAAAAGACACAACCACAAAAACTTAGAAACGTAAAGAAGAGGGGATGCCAAACACCTGAAACATAGACCTCTGAGTAGGAGGTGCTGGCCAGTGGAGCTGGTGTCTCTGAGGGGATGCAATAAAGCTGGCTATGCAAGAGGTGGAAAGCTGAAGATTGGATTCAGCGGCTGCTACAGGAAGGCACTGCCTTTGCTGGAGTGAAGGAGCATTTTCTAGGGTGATGCTCATAGGAACCACTAGCAGACCAGAAGCTCACAGGGAGGAACAAGTACCTTCTTGTTCCTCCAGGCTTCCAGTCTCCTTCCATTGGGTAAGCCTGGCAAGGAGCCAGCCTGCAGTCTAGACAGTTGGTTTGCAGAATCACAAAGCCAAGCAGAGAAGGGTAGTTTTGAGGCTGAGAGTCTGTGACTCAGTAACTGGCGCCCTTACTTTCATCCACCTTTACTCATATATCTCACTGAGAACTTCTCCAACCACCCTATGTAACAGTGCACAGTCAGACCCTTCTACTTCCTTTCCTGCCTTATTCTTCTCATTCGCCCTCATCCAGCTAGCTAACGGTAGCAGATGCTTTAGGTTCTTCAGCTCGCACCCGCCGGCCCATCTCTCAGCAGCCACCGCAGTGGACAATTCTGTGAGTGGACAGACTCACACCCTTCAGTTCGCCTGTGCTACTCAGCTAACACCTGCTTCTAGCCAGTTAAGAGGACTATTTATGGTAGATCAAGGTTTCCTAGTTCTGGCAATATTGACATTTGGGCCTGATAATTCTTTGTTATGGGACTGGCCTGTGCATTGTAGGATGTTTAGCAGCATCGCTGGCCTCTACTCACTAGATGCCAAGAGCATGCTTCCTCCATTGTGACAATCAAAAATACCTCTCCAGACATTGCCAAATGTCCCCTGGGGAGCAGATTGCCCCCCTCCTGGCATTGAGAACCAGTATTCTGGATTATATCTGGTCCATGGGCTGCATGAGAACCAGTTAAGAATGTAGGCATTGCAACAGGTGGATTGGGTTTGATTGAATATGTCTTCACTTATTACCTATATCCCCTTGGCAAGTCACTTAACCTGACTGTGCCTCATTTTGCTCAACTATAAAGTGGGAATAATAATAATTCCTTTATTGGGATGTTGTGAGAATTGAGTATGGTAATATATGGAAAGGGTTTAGTACAGTATCTGGCACACAAATCGGGAATATATTATTATAATTCAAAGCAAAGCATCAATGTAAGTAAGCCACCAACAAATAGTTTTGTCAGCATATGATGCTAAATAATGGATTGATATTTTATTGTCTTACTTATTTTTTTTTTTTTTTCACTGAATGGTCTTGATGATGGCCTAAGAGCACTGGGCAGTGATCATGTTCCTAAACTGTAGAAATTTCCTAAGAATGACTGCCAGATACTGGAATCTGGGTAACTGATGAAGAGACATGCCTGCAATTGAGATTGACTTAAGTACAATTAACATATTGAGTACAATTGTGCTACACTGCTGAGAAATAATAAACACTTGTCAAGTAGCAAATTTCACTGTGATGCCTGGAGGCAGCTTGCTGCTTGATTCATGTAATTGATTTACTCTTCCAAATGGCACCAAAGGGAATCAAAGTATCAAATACTCTTATTGATGTCTTTCAGGCTGTGAGCGGTTTTCTAAACTCAGTCAGCCTTTTGCTATTGCTGAACACAGAACTGTCCATGGTAGAGGGGATTTAGGATATTCAGGTACAGCTTGAGGTGGTGCGTAGGGTTAATTTTCATTAAGTATCACAAGAGCCCCAGGTTGGGAGGAAAGAAATCTGGATTTTAATCTGAGCTCTGTCACTCACTTTGTAACCTTAAACCTGCCATTTTCTCCGAGCCGTCATTTTCCCCACCTTTAAAACGAGCAATTTGGGCTAGGATGCAGCTCTTCAGTCTTCCCTATCTATGAAGTACCTTCCCATCCTCGCTCCATCCCCGCTTCCACCTCCCCATGCTCTCAGAAGTGCAGTGAAAGAAACTCAAGAATGGAGGGAATGTTCTTTTTGGTGCATTTGAAGGATGCCTGTTGGATTCTCATACCTTCTTTCCTTCCTTCCTAGGTACACAGTACTGCACAGTGGACATCACCAGGAACTCAAGAAATTGCCCATACACAATGATCCAGAATCCCTGGAATCATGCTTCTGATGATGGACATGGCCCACAACCAAGCCATTCATTCCCATTCATGTTTGCATGAACAGGACACCCTGGCATCACCCCTGATCCTCATCATCACCAGTGAGGCATGAGGCAGTGGGGGCCAAGGGCCCAGGGAAGGTACATGGAGGACAGTGCTAGACAGGAGCCGAGGCCAGAGCACAGAAGATCTCAGAGTTGTGAAGGGACCTCAGGGAACTTGATCTCTAGATACAGCTTCCCATTGAATGCAGGAGTAGCATCCTCCATGGCATCCCTGAAAGTTGGCCAGTCTCTGCTTGTATACCTCCAGGGACAGGAGCTCACTGCCTCCTGATGCAGTTCCTTCTGTTGTGGGGAAGCTTCAATTATAAGGAAGTTCTTTCCTTTGTTGGAACACAAGTCTTTGGCTGTTCCAGCTTCCATCTGGGGCCATGAAGTTTGCTCCCTTCACCCCTTGAAAGCTCTTAGATATTTGAAGACAATGATCTGCGCCCCACCTACCTCTCTAAGTAGTCTCTCTAAACTAAACATCTCAAATTCCTCTCCACGCTGGCCATCTTTTTGGATATGCTTCAGTTGGTGAATTAATCAAGTCTCTCTTAATGGAGTTAGGCTGACATAAATGCCAAGACATCTGTCCAGAAGCACTGAAGTACTGACAAGTGAAACACCAAGACTTTGACTTATAGCCTTGTTTCTAGCCATGGAACAGTTTTCTTTTCTTGGAGAGAGTCTATGCTTAGGTTTCGGTTTTGAATCCATTACCAAAAGGCATCTTTATAGCTGGCATTTGATCTGGTATGTGTGTGTGTGTGTGTGTATGTGTGTGTTTAAAGATGACATTTTCTCATTGGCATATTGGCTATGAGGCCATTGGAATGAATCTTGATTCACTTCCCTTCCATGGCAATGGAAAATGAGCCTACACTTTTCCAGAGAATGTTGATTGGGAATGCCCTTACAATTCATGTTTTGTGAGGGAAACTGAGTTGCTCCCGTAGGCAGTTTTTGGGGGCACCTGGTCTCAGGCAGGGCAGTTTGTTCCCTTGGGCAAAGACATCACCACAACTCAACTTACTGGCTCTCGTGGGAAGCTTCTTCAGACCCCTGTCTATGAAGCTCCTACGGGGGCTACCATTTTTCCATCCAGATACTTTTTACCAGCATCTCATTCCCTCCAAACTCCTAAGGAGATGTTTCCTTTTCAATGTCAAAGCCAACACTGTCCCAGTTTCCTAATTTATCAGGCAGTGACTTATCCTCCCAGGATGAGATTCAGAGTGAGAGCAAACTTTTTCAGCCACCTTTCTTTCAGCTTCTGATAAAATTGCTATTGAAAGGACTTGCCTGTTGGTCCTTACAGTGAAACAGAGGGAACAGGGAATGTGGTGGTGGGGGTGGGGGTGGGGGTGGGAAGTGCATATGTATCACACACTACAAGATAAACATGTGACAGAAGTTCCAAACCTCACAGCGTTCTCCTCACCCTGATACTTGGTCTTGACCCTGCTCTCTTCCTGAGTGATCCCAGGAGCCACAGTTTCCTCCTCCTCACCTGTTTCATTCCTGAGGACAAAACCCATTACCCCTCCCTTTTCACTCTGTCCTCAGATATGGTGAGAAGGGATGATCAGATCTTACATAGGACTAGGGGGACCAACTCTCTTGTTTTTAGCATCGAAAGTCCCACATTTCAGGGAACTCTTCAGTTCTGGGCAAGCTGGGATGGTTGGTCACCCTACTGATAGGACCATCCTTGTGCTGAGGATAATAGGCCTCCTCACAGTTACGTTTCCCTTCTCTGCTTTTTCATGAGAATGGCAGAGATTAGTGAATTTGAAGGTCCAGAGTTCTCCACATGCTGTGTGAATGGAGTCTTTGTTCTCCAAGGACAAAGAACGTGTTAGCGAAGGACTGAGGCAGAGATCATAAAAACCAGATTACAAGGAGGAGAAATACGTTTAGTGCTTTGAGGCAGCAGGTCAACTTTGTTTAATGCCCCCGAAGTTGATATGATCTACTATTTAATATATACATGCATACATACATACATTATTTCCAGTAGGATTTTTTTTCCCCCATGAAATGCTTATCTCCCCAGAAGCTTAGCAAGCATATCTGCTTATGTAAAATATTATTTCTCAGTGACAGGTCTCCTATATTAAACGGCAACTTGGATTCAACAGGGATCCACAGATTATAACATAGGTGGGAAAATGAGATCCTACCAAATCATGGCCCTCTTCCTGACACATGCTCCTGTGTGCTAGCCCATATTGGTGTCTGTAGAGGTCACAGCCACTGCAGACCAGGGAAAGGATTGCAACTGTGGGAACAGTAGTCCTGCCATTGCCAGAAGGTGGTCCCCTTTGCAGAGGAGGGCTTCACTAACATGCTTTGCTCTGTCTCTTTGGACTGGGGCTGGGGATGATGTGTGTAATGTGCCACATACCCTCATTGGAGGCTCACAGGACAGGACCAGGTTTGTTCTGTCTGGATAGCTGTTGGTCTGGCGTTACTTAAATCTGTGGCTTCCAGGAGTTCAGGCAATATGGTGTATGTATGGAAGACTCAGAAGGAGGACACTTATACTTTGCCTGAAGAATGGGCCCTTCTTTTCTGAGACGGCCAGCCTCACCTACGAAGCCTGCAGTGTCCAGGAGGAAACACTCCTGAGGAAGAGGGGGATATGTGGCCCCAACCACGGATGCCAGATGGGCCTTGATCAAAGAGGCAGTGAATGCTGTGACTCGACAGTCCCCATCTCTGGGCTCGAAGGAATTCACCTGTTTCCTTTCAACTTGACATTCCAGCACAAAGGCTGTCCAGGCAGAAGCCCTGAAATGCCCAGTCCAGCTCTCACCATGAGCAGCTAGACAGCAAGAGACAAAAAGCAAATTCTTCAACTGACACCCAAGTATGTGCTTGTAGAAAAACCTTTGCTTCCTGAGATTTCCCCTTGTCTCACCAATGTTTCCGCCCCATGCTGCTAACTTGCTCTGTCCTGAAGTGAATTGCTGTCCAGCTGAGGAATGGCGGGTCGGGGTGGGTGAGGGAGGGAAATCAGGGAGGGGCTGTGGAGTGGATATAACTAAATTGCCTTTAATGTTGTCTTCAAGTTAGAACAAAAAAAAGATGTCTTCTTGGTGCTGTGCCGTCTGCCCGTTTAGTGTTGTATTTCTCTTTCGTGAGACATCGGTGTTGCTCTTCTCTTTTTCCTATTATTCTGCTGTAGTCAAAGTCCTTCCTGTAACAGCTGTTTTGGGGGGTGGGGGGAGAAAAATGCATTTACCTCTTCTAAGCATAATTTGCAATCTATTTGCTGTCCTATCTAGCAAATCAAGGCTGAATACTTTGTTTGGATTTAAACAAATCAGGAATGGATTTGAAGGCGTGAGTTTGTTTAGGCCTTAAGCAGCTCTTGCTTCACTTGTCTCACCTGCAAAATAGGGGTAATCGCTAAGCTTGTAGGATTGTTTGAGTGTTCGAACATGAGTCATCCAAGGACCATCACTATGACTCTTACCAAATATGTTTTTTGCCTGCACTGTTATTACTTAATATTCTTATGTAAATCAAGTTTCCATGTACATAGATTTATTTTAGAAAGGAAAATTATATCAGTTCCCAAAATAGAAAATGAGTATTGCTTGCGGTAAATAGAAAGCAACCAGAGTGATAAATAATAAAACAAAACAAGGTTATTATGTTTTAACTAGGTGCCAGAGCTCAGAACTTGTCCTCTGCCTCCATGTTTGAAAAGGAAACGAGTGAGTGTTGGAGAGCTCCTAGGGGCTCCCTACCCTCAGCATGGGATTCTTTCAGCTAATTGGGAGGGTTGAAAGAGAATTTCTAAGAGATGAGCTTTCAAACGTTATGAATCAAAGTGATTTAATGCTGTTGCTGTTTTCCACCTAACATCATTTTGTCATTTCATGTTCCAGCAAAGACAAATTGCATTCCACACTTTGGGAAACATGGTGATAAGGGAAGTGAAACTATTTACGTGTATATTTTTTCTTTTTAATTTATTTTGTTGTTGTTGTTGGGAATATACACAGCAAAACATACACCAATTTAACAGTTTCTACATGTACAATTTAGTGACATTGATTACATTTTTTGAGTTGTGCAACCATTCTCACCTACATTTTCTGAGTTGTTCCTCTCTAATTAACATAAACTCACTGCCTCCTAAAATTCCTGTCTATTGTTTTAAGTTGCTGTTGTCAATTTGATTCCATATAGATAGTTCTTAAAAGAGCATAATGCTCAAGGCAGGCCTTTTTACTAGTTAAGGTAAACTATTGTTCAGTTTTAAGATGACTTCAGGGGGTATTTTTGGTTTAAGGTTTAAATTTATCTTAGGGCAATAGTTTCAGGGGTTCATCCACCCTCCATGGCTCTAGAAAGTCTAGAGACCATGAGAAGTTGGAATTCTATTCTGCATTTTCCCCCTTTTGATCAGGATTCCTCTATGGAGTCTTTGATCAAAGTGTTCAATAATGGTAGCTGGGCACCATCCAGTTCTTCTGGTCTCATGGCAAAGGAGGCAGTTGTTTATGGAAGCAATTAGCCATGCATTCCATATCTCCTCCTGTTCCTGACTCTCCTTTCTCTGTTGCTCCAGGTGAATAGAGACCAATTGTTTTTCCTTGGATGGCTGCTTGCAAGCTATTAAGACCCCAGGCACCACACAAAAAAATAAGGTACAATTGCATCACTAAACACATTATTAGGCCAATTAACTAGGGTGTCATGAAACCATGACCCTAAACCTCCAAATGAAGGAACCAAATCCCATGGTTTTGTTTGTACATAAGCAGCCTCAGCAGCTCCTTCTTTTCCCCAGTAGTTGTAAATACTACTTATATGTTTAACTACTGCTTTATTTGATTCAGATTAGGTTTCTCTTTTCCTTTAACTCTTTTTTGAGACTACCCAGAACATATCTTAAAGTTAATAATGATGATGATAATATAAATATAGTGCTAATAACAAGAGCAGCTAACATTTTAGAATCTCCTTTCTGCTGTGCACTCTGCTCTATCCTGCTTTTCATGGATTGCTTCTTGGAATCCTCATAAAATCCTTACAAGACAGTACCCAAAATTATCCCCGTTTTACAGATGAGCAAACCTCAGTTGAGAGATCTGGTGACTTCCCCAACATAGTGGACATGGGAAGTGTGGTTTTGGAATGCAAACCCAGGCAGTCTGATGCTAACGCAGACAGTTGTAAACATAGGCAACACTGTTGGCTATTGAGACTAATTTATTCCACAAGCATTCACGTGCTGGACCCTGTGCTAGGAGAGAACAGAGAACAAGTCAGGGGTGGCCGCTTCCCTTGTGTTGTCTCAGAATTTCTTCCTCCACATCAGCTTGGGTGCTGGAGAGGATCTTGGACACCCCGATTCTAGTATGAGTTCAACCACTCACTTGCTCTATTGTTTTCTTCTGTTTGTTTCCACTGACTGAGCCTCATTTTCCATCTTTAAGTAATAGAGGATTCTGATAGCAGATTGATCAGTGGGAAAGGCCCTTGTGTGCTGATTTTTTCAGTCTTCCCCGTATTCAGCAGCCTGAGCATTTACTGAGCAACCAGCAACAGACCCTGGGAATCAGATGTGGAGCCTAGAGAGCATTAGTCCTGCATTGTTCAGGCCATCACTGGGGCCTCTTCTACCACGAGTGGTTCCTGTGGAGCTCATTTTGATGTCATTTGGACCCTGGAACACAATTGGATATGCTGTCATTGGTCCCAGTAAGCAGAAACACTCTTAGCTCACCACACCAGCACTTTACAGTTTTCTCTGCATTTTCATGGTAAGATCTCTAAGCTACTCACAACAGCTTGGGGGGAGGGATTATGAACTTCATTTTATAGAACAGGAAACAGACTTTATCAAGAAAAGTGATTTACCAAAGGACACAGAGCTTATATGGGGCAGAAGCCAGGTTTCAAAGTGCTTTCTTCCTCCTCTTCCTTAAATTTTTTTATAAATACACAAATTATACATTTTGGGACCATATAAATTGTGTTCTACAGATAATGCATTTATATAATCCATTCCCACTGTTAAACATTCCAACAATCTGTTGTTGTTAGGTGCCGTGGAGTCGGTTCCAACTCATAGTGACCTTATGTACAACAGAACGAAATGTGGCCCGGTTTTGCGCCGTCCTCACAATTGCCGCTGTTTGAGCCTGTTGTTGCAGCCACTGTGTCAATTCAGCTCATTGAGGGTCTTCCCTCAGTAGAGATATAGCAAAATAGCCCTTGACCCCGACTCAATCCCACTCCACCCTATAGGGTTGCTATGAGTTGGAATTAACAGCAACAGGTTTCGATCAGTTTTTTGGTGCTAACTGTAGGAAAGTCAGTGGGAGTGGCTTCAAGTTTAAGCAGCAGCAGCAGCAACTCTGACTTGGCAGATTTCCTGTTGAGGAAGGCCCACCTTCAGTTGCCCCTCACTTGGCCTCTTCCCTCCTCTCCTTTCAGGGACTGAGAAACTTTGCCCAGGTACACAGGCTGGAATCAGACTGAGGTCATCCTGCTCCAACCACTTCCTAGATGTGTGTCTTTGAGCAAGTTGTTTTACCTGTTAAGACCTAGTTTCCTCAACAGTAAAGTAGGGACATAATGATCCTACATACTTTAAAGTGTTACTATAAGGATATATGGAAACCACTTGCTAATTACTATTAACTGGCTTTCATTACTATCATTATTTCTTCTTAATGGTCTCACCAGTTCTGTTTCCTACCATCCTGGGATATGGTCTGAGGAACAGCAGGCTATGTAAAGATGAATCTAAAGAAATCCTTTCTTTCATAATAAGGGGAATTACAGTGGAAGCAATACTACCTCCATTTGCATCCCACTATCCAGTTTACTGAAGGCTCTTATGTACCTCCTCGCATTGGACCCTCACAACTGCCCTATGGAGTGGATATATTATTTGTTGTCACCATTCTACAGATGAGAAAACTGAGGCTTAAGGGTAGGGGTTGTGACCATCTCCAAGTCTCTCACCAGTTGTTTGGGGGAGTCAGAATATGAACCCAGGCCTTCTGATTCTAAACTTGAAGTCCCTGTAAGATCTGTGATACCAGCTATCATTTATAGAGACTTTAGGACCCACACACCTGGCAGCACAAGGAGAGACAAGTCCCAGGCATCTGATGGTGATTCAGTCATATATCCATCCATGAAACATTTCTTATGGCTTATAAAAAATATGCTAGATGCTGCACTACAAGTGGCATATAATTGAATGGACAAATAGAACAGCCCAGTTCTCTACTGCAGAGGTAAGCAAACCACAGACTGTGGGCCAAATCCAATCCATGAGCTAAGAATAGGTTTTACTTTTTTAAATGGTTGGAAAAAAAAAATTTGTGACGTGAAATTCAAGTTTCTGTGTCCATAAATAAAGTTTTATTGCAACACAGCCATGCCCATTTGTTTATGTATTGTCTATGGCTGCTTTCAAGGAGCCCTGGTGGCACAGTGGTTCAAGTGCTCAGCTGCTAACCGAAAGGCCAATGGTTTGAAACTATCAGCTGCTCCATGGGAGAGAGATGTGGCAGTTTGCTTCTGTAAAGATTTACAGCCTTGGAAACCCTATGGGGCTGTTCTACTCTGTCCTATAGGGTAACTATGAGTCAGAATCGAGTTGCCAGCAGTGAGTTTGGTTTTCGTTTATGGCTGCTTTCACACTTCAATAGTAGAGTTGACAGAGAATGCCTGTAGTCTGCAAAACCTAAAATATCTGAACTACAGGAAAAAATTGCTGACCCTTGCTGTAGGGCCATTTACTATCCAGGCATTTATTCTATCTATATCGATCAAATGCCGACTATAGTAGTCATCTTCCAAGATTTTCGTTTTTCCCAGTTTGGGCATTCTTACAGTTGTAGTCTTCTCTGCTGTTCCTCCACGTAACCTAGACGTTTGAGTTATAGTAAACAATAAAAGTTAACCCATCAAGTTATAAAACAGCGGCCTCTTGTGGCTGATCTAAGTATTATCTAGATAATTTGGTACGGTTACAATGAAAAACCAGGGTTAGATTGGGTCTTAGTTGATGGTTGAGAATTCCAAATTACTTTGAAGTATCTGGGATACTCTGTAATTTGTTTCCTGTCTCTACCAGTTCTAACCTGGAGAGTGGAGCATACTCTTCTACTTAAGAGGGAGTTTGGCAGAGTTAAAAACAAGGTATTTAAGAGATGACAGAATGAAGTATAGGCAGTCCCCAGATTACGAATGAGTTCCATTCCTAAATTTGTCTTTAAGTTTGTACATAAAAAGTTGAACAGGTATAGTTCGTATCTAATGTCAGTCAAATGTTTGTCTTGGTATATAGTATATAGTGTACCTTCTTATGCATAAAAAACACTTCCAGATACACTAAAACATCTTTAACATGTTTTGATGCACATCGTATAGTAGCACCCGTTACTACAAACCATTGTGTGCACCTCAAAGTTTTAATGGGCTTTACTGGGGGGTTGGTTCATAACCACGGGTTGTATGTATGTAAGTTGGATGTTTGTAACCTGGGACTGCCTGTACTTAATTGAACTAGTCTTCCTAATGTAATAGGAAGAATTTTAAAAGCTTTGGGAAAGAGCTTTGAAGAGAGACATTGCTTATCATTCAGAATATTTTAGTGTTATCAAACTTGCCAGCACCCTGGGATTTCTACGGTCATTACAGAAGGCAGCCTAGTGGGAATTAAGCACTTGGATTCTTGTCCTAGCTGACCTTAACCAGATCCTGACCATGGGTAAGCAATCTTCTCCCTTAATAATACTGGACAAAATTTTCTCTAAGGACTGTTACACCTCAAACACATCATAACACCATGTCTATTTGCAGAAACTGTGTAAGGTGGAAACCTGTCAGAGAAAAAAAAAACATCTTCCACTAAAACGAGCAATAGAGAAGTGGTAAAACTGCACCCTGTCAAAGGTGGAAAACTTTCAAGACCTGAAAACACAAGGCCATCCTGTCAAGCTGCGGTTCTCACAGGTTTCACCGTAGTTCATAAAATTCTTTCACAGACCTACAGTTTAGGTAATTTGCTGAGGTCACTCAGCTACCGAGTGGCTAAACTATGACTCAAACCAGGTGTTACTCTAAAAGCTTTTGCTCTTGACCTCGGAAATTATTCTATCCATATACAGTCATGCGTTGCTTTATGTCCAGGATACATTCTGTGAAAAAGGACATAATGTGATTTGGACATTGCGTGAACACCATACAGTCATGCGCCGTGTACTGTCCACTTGGGGCAACATCTAACCGTGTATATGTCCATCGACCCATAAGGTTATATGGGGAAATCAGCAGCTTGTTTACAGCATTTGCAACCTCAGGGATCCCTGAGAGCCTGCTCTCTCAGTGCCTGGGCCTCCCATGCTGAGGGGCGCAGGGGCCAACAAAGAAGACTGGCGATTGGAGTAACAAATATAGCACATGCAAATTCCGTGCCAAACTATTGCTTAGGCCCACAGGGCACCGCTCTGCATGGGAGGCCCATGAACTTCCAGAGCTGGCCAGCTAGCACTTAGGTGGCAAATGCCACAAACACACTGCTGATTTCCCCATATAACCTTATGAGACCACTGACATATATGCAGTCAGATGCTGGATGCTGCCCTAGCAGACAATACGTGGTGCATGACTGACTGTATTCCATATCAAAGCAATTTCTGTCCTACAGAGACCTGATGACCAGGTATTTTGGGAAATTCTGTTCTCAGTGTTCCATCACTTAGAGGTCTGTGAGTCGCACATTTGCAGCCACAGAACTTTAAAAAAAAAAAAAAGAGAACTTAAAAAAAAAAAAAGACAAAACTTTAGAGAGAGAGATCAAACTTTAGCTTAACAGGAATCTAGAACTGACTGACACAGCTCTCCACATTCCTTTTTTGTGACATATTTGCAACCCTTCTTTAAAAATATGAATTCAGGTTCAAGGCAAGAAAAAAGTTTTTAATAAACTTTTATTTTTATATTCAAGTTAAAGTAGATACACAATTGAATGTGAAAATAAATAACTAAATGCTATGGAAACTTTTGCATTTCCCCTGCAAACTCAATTTTTCTTTTAAGCTCATGAGACTTTTTACTTGATTTTAAGAAACATGGCAAGTATAATCCTAAAAAAAAAAAAAAATTCACAAATTTGTACAGAAACATACAGCCTTCTCCGACTATAGGGTTTAGTTGGTGTTTTAATAACAATTAAAAAAAAAAAGCACACAAGACACACTCTTCAACAGATTTACTCAATAGCTTCGCTCAAAAAGGCACAGATTTAAGTGGATGACAGTGATTAAGAATACAGTAAGAGGGGAGTCAGCCGAAAATGATACTTTATGAACTAAGTCAAGAAAAGTGAAAATGAACTCTCTGAAATTATCCACTTTCATTAAAATGAATTTTTAAATTAAATTGTATAAACATATGATATAAAGTTGGTACTTTAGGAAGCATCTTCTTTTTGTATAGTTCCTATATGTACAAATCTTTGTATACAATTTCAATGTTCCTTATACATTTCCTATATACCAAGTTGAGCCAGCGTCTCCAAACTGCGTGCCTCAGTCTGTGTGCACTCATGCAGCTGGAGGAGTTTTCTGCAGGAACAGGTGGAAAGTAGGAGGAGCCAATCAAATGTAGTCATCTTCAACTGGCTCTCCGTTAACATCACAATAGTGGATAAAAATTGCCACTACTCGCTGAAACACGCCCTTCTTCATCTGACGCATCTCTGAAATTTCTTCTCCTATTGTTTCCATACAGATGTCTGCAGATAGCTGCCCTTTCCTTCGAGGGGCATAGATGGTGCCTTGGAAATTAGAAAGAAAAGGGGTTAAGTTCATAATTATCAGAATCATTTGAGAAAAATCACCCTGATTAAAGCTGGCCCATGATACATGCCTATAGAGAATAATACAATGCAATGGATGGATGTACACCACTAGGTGGACAGGTTTCAGCAGAGCTTTGAGACTAAGACAGACTAAAAAGAATGACCTGGAGATCTACTTCTGAAAAAACTGGCCAGTGAAAACCTTAGGAATAGCAGCGGAACATTGATACAGTGCTGGAAGATAAGCCCCTCAGGTTGTAAGGTACTCAAAATATGACGGAGGAAGAGCTGCCTCTTCAAAGTAGAGTCGACCTTAATGACGTGGATGGACTCAAGCTTTCGGGACCTTCGTTTGCCGATGTGGCATAACTCAAAAGGACAAGAAACAGCTGCAAACATCCATTATAACTGGAATGTGGAATGTATGAAGTATGACAGGAAAATTGGAAGGTGTCAAAAATAAAATGGAATGCTTGAAGATCGATATCCTAGGCATCAGTGAGTTAAAATGGACTGGTACTGGCCATTGTGAATCTGACAAGCATATGGTCTACTATGCCAAAAATGACAGCTTGAAGAGCATTCATCTCAAGATCTATCCTGAAGTGCAACACTGTCACGGACAGGGTAATATCTATACGTCCGCAAGGAAGACAGGTTAATATGACTATTACTCAAATTTATGCACCAACCACTAATGACAAAGGCAAAGAAATTGAAGATTTTTACCAACTTTTGCAGTCTGAAATTGATCAAATATGCAATCAAGATGTATTGATAATTACTGATGACTGGAAGGTGAAATTTGGAAACAAAGAAGAATCAGTAGTAAGAAAATATGGTCTTGGTGATATAAACCACGATGGAGATTGCATGATAGAATGTTGGAAGACCAATGACCTATTCACTGGAAATACTTTTTTCAACAACGTAAATGGTGACTATACACATGGACCTTACTGGATGGAATACACAGGAATCAAGTCGACTACATCTGTGGAAAGAGACAAGGAAGCAGCTCAATATCATCACTCAGAACAAATCCAGGGGCCAACTGTGAAACAGACCTTCAATTGTTCATATTTAAGTTGAAGGTAAAGAAAACTAGAACAGGTCCACGAGAGCCAAGGTACAAACTTGAGAATATCCCACCTGAATTTAGAGACCATTTCAATAACAGATTTGATGTACTGAACACTAATGACCGACGAGTTGTGGGACATCATACATGAAGAAAGCAAAGGATCATTAAAAAGACAGGAAAGAAAGAAAAGACCAAAATGTATGTCAGAAGAAACTCTGAAACTTGAATGCAGAGTATCTAAAGTGAATGGAAGAAATGATGAAGTAAAAGACCTGAACAGATTTCAAAGGGCAGCTCAGTAAGACAAAGTAAAGTATTATAATGAAATGTGCAAACACCTGGAGTTAGAAAGCCAAAAGGGAAAAACACGCTCAGCATTTCTCAAGCTAAAAGAACTGAAGAAAAAAATTCAAGCCTCGATTTGCAATTTTGAAGGATTCTATGTGGAAGATATTGAACAATGCAGGAAGCATTAAAAGCAGATGGAAGGAATACACAGTCACTATATCAAAAAGAACTAGTCAACATTCAACCATTTCAGAAGGTAGCATATGATCAAAAACTGACGGTATTGAAGGAAGAAGTCCAAGCTACACTGAAGGCACTGATAAAACACAAGGCTTCAGGAATTGATGGAATACCAATTTAGGTGTTTCCACAAACGGATGCAACGCTGGGAGCACTCACTCGTTTATGCCAAGAAACTGGAAGACAGCTACCTGGCCAACAGACTGGAAGAGATCCATATATGTGTGCATTCCAAAGAAAGGTGATCCAAAAGAATGTGGAAATTATCGAACAGCATCATTTTTTAATATCATGCACAAGTAAAATTTTGCTGAAGATAATCCAAGAACAGTTGCAGCAGTACACAGACATGGAACTGCCAGAAATTCAAGCTGGATTCCGAAGAGAATGTGGAACAACTGATATCATTGCTGGTGTCAGATCGACCTTGGCTGAAAGCAGAGAACACCCCCAAAGATGTTTATCCGTTTTTCATTGACTCCGCAAAGGCATTCGGCTGTGTGGATCATAACAAATAATGGATAACACTGCAAAGAATGGGAATTCCAGAACACTCTAATTGTGCTCATGAAGAACCTGTACATAGACCGAGAGGCAGCTGTTTCAAAAAAGGGATACTGCATGGTTTAAAAATTAGGAAAGATGTGCGTCAGGGTTATATCTTTTCACCATACTTATTCAATGTGTATGCTGAGCAAATAATCTGAGAAGCTGGACTGTGTGAAGGGCACGACATCAGGATTGGAGGAAGACCCCTTAATAACTTGCAATATGCAGATGACACAACCTTGCTTGCTGAAAGTGAAGAGGACTTGAAGTACTTACTGATAAAGATCAAAGACTACAGCCTTCAGTATGGATTACATCTCAACATAAAGTAAACAAAAATCCTCACAACTGGACCAATAAGCAACATCATGATAAATGGAGAAAATACTGAAGTTTGTCAGGGATTTATTTACTTGGATCCACAATCAAAACTCGTGTAAGCAGCAGTCAAGAAATCAAACAAAACATTGCACTGGGCAAATCTGCTGCAAAAGACCTCTTTAAAGTGTTAAAAAGCAAAGATGTCACTTTGAGGACTAAGGTGCACTTGACCCAAGCCATGGCATTTTCAATTGCCTCATATGCATGTGAAAGCCGGAGAATAAATAAGGAAGACTGAAGAACTGATGCCTTTGAATTATGGTATTGGCAAAGAATACTGAATATACCATTGACTGCCAGAAGAACATCCTTCCTGAAAGAAGTTCAGCCAGAATGCTCCTTAGAAGAGAGGATGGTGAGACTTCATCTTACGTACCCTGGACATGTTATCAGGAGGGACCAGTCCCTGGAGGAGGACATCATGTTTGGTAAAGTAGCGGTCAGTGAAAAAGAGGTAGACCCTCAACTACATGGATTGACAGTGGCTACCAACAATAGGCTCAAACACAGTAACTATTGTGAGGATGGTACAGGACCGGGCAGTGTTTCATTCTGCTGTACAGAGGGTTGCTACAAGCTGGAAATGACTCGACAGCACCTAACAACAACGATGGATGGATGTACACTTCATGGAACAGATCCCTATCAGTTTCGTTATATACCATGTTGAAGGCCTAAGACAGCATGCATGGGTAAAAGTTCCACAGCTAAAATATGATACCAAAGAGGTAAGTCACACACGTATACATGTAGACCATGAAATTCCTCTCCTCATATATTTTTTTTAACTCTGATTACAAATGGATATTCAAGTGTGTTTACACATAGAGAAACTATATTCAAAAGCCCCTTCAAGTTTTCCTAGAAATTTCCACACCTATATCAACTTTCATGGTAAGTTTCCACATATACTCAACAACAAGCAGCTCATAAGTAACAGGAGAACAGTAGTTAGTATAACTGGAACACATTTGAAACAATATAGTTGGCAAACTCTTCAATAAAGAGTAACAAAAATGCAAACACGCAGGTAACACCAAAATCTAATAGAAATATCTGTCTGAAGGATCCTCCCTACCAACCTTCATATATTTCTAGTAAGTCAACTGACTGTCTACTGTACACATTTAGAGCTTTTTATGGGGGAAATAAAACAGTAACAAAAAGCAAATAAAAAAAATTTACACGGGAAGCCATTTAAAAGCTGCAGTGCTCCTACATCTCAAACAAAATATTAAATATCCAACAAAATAGGATATACTCAAACTTGAGAAAACAAGTCAGGTCATAATTACTTTCTTCATCATCTTCAAAATCATATCGTGCGAAGCTATTGGGTTCTGCTGCCCGTAGTGACCTAAGCCAAGGGAAGTCAGAAATCATGGAATACGGAGCACCGTCCACAACGCCTGAAACGAGAAGACAGATGTAAACAGTGGTACTGCTGTGGAAGCACTGACGGGGACAAACATTGCAGTATTTTGTCAACAAAGCTTGATTTATACTTTTATAACCTCAGGGCTAAAAAAGCACTGGACCAGGAGATGTAGAATTACAATCCTAGCTTTGCCACTATTTGGTTATGTGATCTTGGTCATTCTTTTGCTTCCATTAAGCATATAAAGAAATACATATATATATGAGATATT